CCACTCTAAAGGTTTAGCTTTTCCTCTGAAAGTTCTCCATCTAGAAAAGCAGAGATGACATCATTAATGGAACATCTTCTACTAGAATGTGCTGATGCAGTTGTGACCTGAAGCTATTCACATGTTCACCTTGGCTACCCATATTTCACTTCTATTCTACCTCAGCCTTCCAAAATGTGTCTCTGTACAAAGAGCTCCACAGAAAGATGGTAAAACCTCCATTTGTGCAGAATATGGCCACTGGGATATTGATGATGACCAGGAACATGGAGCATCTGATACAGCCCTTATACAAAGTGTTACCAGCTCTTCAGATAACATACGATGAACAGGGCTGGGGTTGTAGATCAACATTGGTGAAGGCACTGATGGCTGAATTAAGCCCAACTATCTTCTGCTTCAGAAGAAGCTCTGTCTGTAAGGCAACAGTGTTTGTTCTTGATAAGCATGATAATGACTTGAGCAGGGCTGGACTAGAAGACCTCCAAGGTCCCTTCAAGCTTTGATTGACTGATTGAATGAGTAAGTGAGTGAAAAGCTCATCAACTGTAAACTCCCTTCCCACTTGAGTAGAGGTACTCCTTGACTTACAACAGTTCGCAAAGCTCCAATGGCACTGAAAGAAATGACTTATGACCATTTTTCACACTTATGACCATTGCAGCATCCTCATGGCCAGGTGATCTACATTCGGATGCTTGACGACTGACCCACATTTATGACGGTTGCAGCGTCCCAGGGTCACGTGATCCCCTTTTGAGACCTTCTGACAGGCAAAGTCAATGGGGAAACCAGATTCACTTAACAACCGTGTTACTAATTAAACAACTGCAGTGATCCACTTAACAAATGTGGCAAGAAAAGTCGTAAAATGGGGCAAAACTCCCTTGGCTTCTCGCTTAGCAACATAAATGTTGGGCTCAACAGTGGTCATACGTTGAGGACCTGTATATCTCCAATACTACCTTTTTAAAAAAACTGATTCTGAAAGCTGTCAACTGCTTTCATCTCCCAGTTTCCAAATGAATGAAACCAGCGTGGCATTATTTTAAGATGCCCCTTTTCCATAGTTGCAAGACCTAGGTTTTATAATGGCACTCTATGGTATTGAGTTTAGTTTTATTATATCTTATTTTTGTATTTATGGTTGTAAAAAGGTAAGAATGAATACTTAGGAAGCAGCTTATAAATAAAAATAAATTATTAGAAAGGGGAAAAAAACCCTTTGCTTTTTTGTTTTTATTCTAGTAGACATGGATCTTTTTTTTTTTAAAGACATGCCTTTCACACGCCACACAACCCGTTCCACGTTCCCATGTGTCTTTGGTTTATGTACAAATTAAGGAAAGTAAGTAAGTAAGTAAGGAAGGAAGGAAGGAAGGAAGGAAGGAAGGAAGGAAGGAAGGAAGGAAGATGAGAAGGAAGAAAGCAAGATGAGAAGGAAGGAAGAGAGAGAGAGAGAGAGAGAGAAGGAAAAGGACACACTGCACTAATTTTAGCAGCAGGATTAAACAAGGTTTTTTTCAATACAATACTGGATGCCCCAGTAAAACATGTAGTACAATGCAAACTTTAATGTCAATATACACAGAGTCTGAAATAAAAAAAATTAAGAGGAGAAAAATGAAATTTTGAATGGAATAAATACAATATGGTACAAATCCACAGTATGTCTGAGACATGAGGGTTACAATATTGACAACAGTGTGGTCGATGAGAATGTTTTGTGTGGTTTTTTTAAAAACTTTAGGAAGTACTGCATCCAAATATTCATTTATTCCTGTAAATAAAACTTGAATAATTGACTACCCTCTGTTGCTTCGATGGCTCTGCAGCTGAAGACCAGCCACAATTCGGCCAGAACATTTTGATAAAGCCAGTTAACAGCCAGGTTCGGATGCAACGTATTTCAGCATGCAAAGCCATGGGAAAGCTTGGTCCAGCATGCTATTCCTTTCTTCCTGATCCTAGCTTTCCATTACATCCTGACAAGGCGTAAAATGGACAAAACCATAGTCCGAAAGCAATTTCAAATGATGGTGATAGATGCTGGACTACTCCAGTTTGTTATCCCTGCTGAACTAGCTTTGCTTTGCTTGAAGACATTTCAAGCAAATGTTAACCATGAGTGTTACAATACAGTCCTTTCAGCAGTTCCAAGGAAGTTCCACACCGATTTGCATTATCCAGGTGACTCTTGAAGGCCCAGATAAACCTCCAGGCAACCTCAACAACTCTCAGCAAAGAGTGCTAAAGACTAGATGACTGCAAAGAATATAAAACCTTCCATTCTCCACCATTCAGTCAGAACTGAAGAAGCTTCTTGGATGAGATGCAAAATGTCGTCAAGAAAACACAAAGGAAGTCCAGTTGTGTCCTGAAAAAACGCATCTTTGGATGACTTGAATGACTGAGGATCTCCATAGACCTCCAGTTTGGTATCTATTCAGCTTTGGTTCTAGTGGTGAATTCTGATCGGTTCAGCTACTCTTTGTGTGAAGCAATGGCAAAAAAGAGGAAGGGATGGTGTACCATGGTGAGATAAAAAAAGAAAGTCACTGTAGCCTTGCTTTCCAAACTGAAATAATTGACATTCTAACCAGGCTATTCAGTGCACAAATGAATAATAGTTGGGAAACTGGAAGGATGCATATGAACCACTCTGCCCCCCACCCAACAAATAGTCCCAGACCACAACATCAAGATTTCCATCCAAAAAATTTCCATGAAGGAAGCTGCCTATTTAGAACCAAAAGGAATTGATGTAAGGCAGGGGTCCTCAACCTTGGCAACTTTTAAGACTTATGGACTTGAACTCTCAGAATTCCTCAGTCTTAAATTAAATTAAATTAAATTCCACAAGTCTTAAAGTTGCCAAGGTTGAAGACCCCTGACGTAAGGTGTCCCATTGGACCAAACAAGATAACTTCTCATCTAAATTGAGTTTTATTATCCACCAGTTGTTTCAACTAAACTGTCCTTTTTTTTAACCCTAATGTCAGCTAACATAAATTACTAGCTACTTTTATGATAACTTCTAGATAAAGATTTCTCCTGTCCAGTCATTTCTGACTCTAATGGGCAGTGCTCATCTCCATTTCTTGCTCAAGGGAGCCAGCGTTGTCCGAAGACATTTTCCATGGTCATGTGGCCAGCATGAATATACGCCAAGAGACATGGAACGCCGTTACCTTCCCACTGAAGGGGTACCTATTTATCTATTCGCATTTATGTGCTTTCAAACTGCTAGGAGCTGAAGCAGGTAACAGGAGCCCACCCTATTGCACAGTGCCTGAGTCTCAAACCTGCGCTGTAAGCTTTCCAGCTGACAAGCTCAGAGTCCTTCATTGCTGAACCCCCCCCCCCAATACTGTAACTTCTAACCTCTCGCAAAGTTGTGACCCCAGGCCTTCTTAACCACTGCTATTCATTTCAATCGTCTTGGGTAGAAGTGATTTTTCTAGAAAACCATAGCTAAGCAAATCTCTATTTGAGGACGCTTCAATTAGTATCTAAAACCAGAGCAGGAACTTACAGCCTAGAACAGACCCCGTACATGTCCGTAAAAGTACATCTACCACTTTCCAACGAAGGGATTTGTACGGACAAAATTGGATTGTTCCTACCATGTGAGAGCAATCTCTGTAGTAAACAATTAACCTGAGGAGTGTTTTTTTATTAAAGGAAGCATCTATAAGGATGCTTTATTTATTGTGTTACATTATTTCAAGATAGACATGAAGATCTGCTTTTGAAAAAGGCCTCCAGAAAGTACTCTAAAGAGAAAAAAAATGTTTTCGCCCATTTTGTTTCGTTCCATCCACGTCAAAGTCACTGGCTGTCATTTCCATGCATCCTGAGGGAGGGTGTCTTCCTTCTCTTCAAAACCATTTCCACATAGCAGATTAAAGAATCACTCTGAGTGACCAGATATCCAGAATCTTCTAGGACTTTCTACTGTGCTTATCTCCAAGCAAACTGACTAACTCTTGGATACTTGCCTCCAGAAGCTCATAAATCTATCACTGACTATCCAGGAAATTATAATTATTGCAACTCACCCTTCAGAAAAATCACTAGGCCTCAAATATGCTCATAAAATACCCAAAACATGAGATTCAGCTGTTGAAAAAAAATCCCGTTAATTTCCTGCCAGTCAGATTAGACAATATTGGTCTAGAAATGCATTTATTCTGATTTGAGATAAGTCTGATTTTCCGTAGGTATAAAAAGAAACATATGGCTGAGATAATTTACATTAGCTCCTTAAAGGAAGGATTTGTTTGAGCAAAATGAATCCACAGATTTATTTTTGCTACCAAAATGGGTGGGGAAAAAGTAATCTTTTTCCTCATGTAATTTATGACCAGCATTTCCAATTTCCTATGCCTCTGTGAAAATATTTAACAAATTTTAAAAAATGCATTCTGTTTTCAGATTTTAGTCTTAGCAGTTTTATTTGATCCCAAAGGAAGCCACCAAACAAAAGAATAAAATATTATTCAGCATAATAGAAGTCTTGCGATCTCTTGCAATTAATTCTGTAATTCATTAATGTAATTAATTAATTAATGTAATTCATTACTGGTTATTCAAGGAACATCATCCAAACAGCTGATTCTATATTCTTAGGCTATTGACCAATTGCATTAATCTCATTTTATAATAAAATATCTGAGTAATCCATATTGGAACATCTTTCTTTGGGGCAAAGAGTCTTCTAAGATGCATTTTCTAAGAAAACATGCCAGTTTAAAACTAATCTATATCCAATATGAGTTAATTTCATAATTTTTCTGAGTAATCGTTCTAATCCTCATTGGCTTTATTATTCCCATTGAATGTATGGGTTTATGAGAAATTTCCCTCTACTGAGACGCCCAAAAGCTGGATCAGAAAAGACCAAGAAATGTTTTAAAGTTTGCACCTTTCCAGCAGATAGCAAAGTTGATATTAAAAGGGAAAGAAAAAAGGGGAAAAAAAGACATTAATAGAAGCAATCATTTTCAAAATTCTTTATAAAATATCACGGAGGGGAAAAAAGGAACTCAGAGAACTTTTCAATGTGTGAATAAATAAAAACGATTGTGAAATATGGTCTGTGATTAAAAACGTCACCATCATACAACTTAGGATGAATAAAACGCTACCCCAGGATGAGAAAATAGAGGCACAATGAAAACCGAAGACTATGAAGGAAATTGAGGACAGCACAGTGCATTAGCTTAATTAGCAAGGTCGCTTAATTTGTCTTGTCTCAATACCAATCAAGGTAGCTTCATTTGTCTTCTCCCGATACCAATCGAGTGGCAGGGTTCAATCCAGAATGTCAGAGCAAATACAATGTCAGTCCTCCTATGGCTAAATGAAATGGGCACAGACTGTGTTACACAAAAGTTCACAGACGAAACAAATCTAAGCCTCAGGACATGACAGCACAATACTGTAGGAGTTGATATTAACTCGCAGCCTTTTGGATATAGGTATAAGCTCTACACACTTTATTCTGTATCTAAGCAAGGGTGCCCAACCGAAGCAACTTTCAGACCTGTGGACTTCAACTCCCAGAATTCTCAGCCAGCTATGGGAATTCTGGGAGTTGAAGCCCATCAGTGTGGCATAAGCTCTACACACCTTATTCTATCTGTATCTAAGCAGGGGTGCCCAACTTTGGCAGCTTTGAGACTTGTGGACTTCATCTCCCAGATTGGCTGGAGAATTCTGGGAGTTGAAGTCCACAGGTCTGAAAGTTGCCAAGGTTGGAGACCCCTGATCTAAAGCATTATCAAGCAGAGATCTACTTACCCTTTCTTGAAAAGGTCCCGTGATGGTGATGTCATACATTGACATTATGTACAACGGAATATTTATTTTCCTAACCACCACCACTCTTCAAAAGCCTTAAGAAAGACACAGCTAGGTTGACCAAATCTACAGCTCTAATGAAGGCTTTACACACTTATCATCTCAGTTTGTTCATGGATTATTAGTATAGCTGTACATTATTTTTTACACATAACTGCCTGACGCCAACAGAACACAAGGGCTTCCATCATTCATTTTGCACTAGGATATCCGTTTCAGTGGTCCTTGGCTTGTCGTACCCACGAATCAAATGCATGGAGTCTGCCGTTTAAGGTGATCGATTTACAAAACCAGAGCACATCATGTTTTAATGTTTTCTTTTCTTTGTCTTTACAACAGGGCAAAGATAGCAAAAATATTAAAACACTGACCTTTTCTTCTTGAATTAAAATTTACAACTTGAGCAGCGTCTCTGATTAACTAATACATATCTTTATAAACCGGATGAAAACTATACAGTATTTAAAAGTATTAACATAATGCAATCGATCTCCGAAATGAAATGTGTACCGTAAACTCCTCACCGCAGTTGCAAAGTACCCTGATGCCACTAACACCAACCTACTAACAGCAATAAATCCTCTAAACTGGTAGAAGTTTTTGTTTTTGTTTTGTTGTGTTTTCGTCCTTTCTTCCACTGAATTCAAGTAAATGTAGGAGGAATTGGAATATGCCTTTTAATTCACAGGGCAGGCAAATACAGAGCTGCTTCTTGGGGTTTTTTCATTAGTTTTTTCCCCCTCTGTTCCACGTGGGTTAAATGTTCCAGCTGACCTATAAGTCTGTGGATGTTAGTTTTTTCATGCTTCTCCGCTGAGCCAAACTTGAAGCTGCAACTGGTTCCAAAACTGGCTGAAATGTCTTGTTATTCAATGCAGAGTATGTCGCAGCCATGGCCCCCTGGAACATAATCACATTAAATGACAAATCAACCACACCATCCTCGTCCATAATTAAGAGAGAGATCTCCACCCCGGTGATGAGTTTTACCTTCACTAAATGGGGTGCATCTTGCCTATTTAGCTGGTAATGTGGCAACTGATCCCTACAGGCTATCCACGAATGTTTCAGAACTTGCTCTGCAGTGTATCTTTGATGTGGATCCACATGTAGCATGTGAGATAGCAAATCCTGGATGAAGGAGATAATAAGAGTTATAAGTAAAATGTAGAGATGAGAAGGTGACAAAGAGCTGAACGTGGCCTTTCTGATATTGTCACTCAGATCAGGATCACAGCAGTGATCCTTCCACCCAAGGTTTCTAGGCTACTGGATTCTAAAGATATCGGTAAGGAATATGTTCATCAGTGAAATTTCAGGGTCGGTTCCTGATTTCAAGAGGAACCAAGATGTGGCGTGGAGGTAAAAGGACCCCAAAAGACAGACTTTCTTAAAATGGGATGCTTCCGGACCGGAAACAGTTCATCCTCAACAGGCCTTCATTGTAACTCTCCCTTTTGCTACCATAAATTAAAAGTGATATAGCTTGCATGCTACTTTCTTTTAAAAAATGAATGAAAAGCTCCAAGTCAAATTAATATGAACCTTGAATTATCTCACTGGACGTTTCTATTACAATAGTTTGAATAATCCTATTGTTCATACAAAACCATGAAGCAGACCTGTACTTTTAGTTTAGTTTTTAGAAGTGGTAGAACAGAAAAAGCACCATATCTGCATGGAAAAATGACCCACTCTACATGTATGGTTAGAATTTAAATAATATACTGGAATATCCACATAATATAAATCAAACGAAACTTGTTCAGCCTGAGATTCAGGTATGGAAAAACTCTGGCTTACGTTTTTTTAAAAAATAAACTGAATAATTTTAGCACATGCATGCTAAGTAAATTTTACAAAAGATTTAAGGTCTAAAGATAACATAATTTTCCAATATTTGTAGAAAATGCTTTAACATTATTTATAAAAGATGGCGGTAAGTTTCATATTATTAATCACTACTCAAAAAATGCATCCATGGTGAAAACTATGATTTAACGGACATTTTGGAGAAGAGGATGGGCATTACATATGAATGCCTATTAAATCCAAATTTATGATAACTGCCTCTTTTTGCATCCTTATGAAGGTAAAGTGATTTATTTTATCAGTGTCTATGACATGAAATATCAGGAGGCAAGAGAATTGGTCTATTGTTTGGGAGCAATGTCTACATATAAATTTTGTCCATTTTATATTAATGGAACCTAAAAGGTTGAATCATGACAACTGGACCAAAATTGGACCATTCAGGAAGCTTCATCAGTCAAAGTAATAATAATAATAATAAATAGGCAGAAAAGCAGAGAGTGGTTGGAATGTACCAACTCTTGCTACACCAACTTCAAGGGTTTCTCCCCAAAACGTATTGCAATATGTCAATGAAGACTGACATATTGATTGACTGACATTTATGATTGAATCTTGACAAGAATACATTTTGGGAAGACACCCCTGAAGTTGGTGTGGTAAGAGTTGGTACATTCCGATGACTCTGACCCTCTGTCTATTTTTTTTTTTTTTTTAATTTTGACTGATGAAGCTTCCTGGATGGGAAATGAAACGTCTCAGTTTAACAAATTTTGATCCAGTTACTGTGATTCAACCTTTAGACACCTTTGGCCTGCATGATTGAGTCTTCATTGACATAATGTGATGGAATATAGCCTGGATTCCCAGGAGGGGGTGCATTCCAGAGAAACAAGAGACGACTCAGTTCAGATGGTTTGTGTGAGAGAAAGTGGGTGCAGACAGCTCATCCCTAAGAGTTCCCAGGGCAATGGTGGGATTCAGCCAGTTCACACCACATCGGCAGAACAGGTAGCTAATTTTTTGTTGCCCAGGCCCAGAATGGACTTCCAGAAGCAGCATCCACACAGAGAACCGGTTGTTCACATATTTGAATCCCACCACTGCTTGATGTGGCTGGTAGCTTGCAGTAGTTTGACTAAGATTCTATCTGTAGGTGAAGAACAATAAAGAAATCTCCTTGGAAGAATCATAAAGTGTCTTTCTTGATTTTTGAAACCCGGCATTGAAGTACGTTAAATGCGGAGTCTTTTTAACCAACGGTTCACCCGTAACTGCATCTACACAGCCACCTGTATCTTATAAAGTATAAAATTAAAAATATATATATGTTGATACCTTTGCAGCATCCGACACAGTGTCCCAATTGCCTCCACTTAAAGAAAATTTCCCACTCCCAATCCGTAACAAGATTTCTTCGGGGGTATCATTGGGCCCGTTGGCAAAAGGGGTGTACCTAAAATATTTTTTTAAAAAAAGGATATTAGTTTCTTTTGCATAAATACTTTAGAAACATATATGGAACTTGTTGGTTTAGGACAGTGATGGTGAACCTTTTAGAGACTGAGTGCCCAAAGTGCAACCCAAAACCCACTTATGCATCGTCGAGTGCCGGGTGGGTGTGGCCCATTGGCTAGGTGTGGCCATTTGGGTGGGCATGGCCCATTGGGTGGGCGTGGCCCATTGGCTGGGCATGGCTGCGGTGATAACAGCAGACTGGGTGGGACTAAAAAGTTCAATCAATCAATTCCAACTTTGCAAGATCTTTTTTTTTCTCACGAGAAGTTGAAATTGACTGATTGATTGAACCTTTTTTTTTTTTTTGCACACGGCGGCAGAGGCCTAAAGCGAAAAGGTTTTATAAAACCCAGCTGAAGGCCTAGGACTGGGGCGATGGCACACGTGCCCACAGAGAGGGCTCTGAGTGCCGCCTCTGGCACCCGTGCCATAGGTTCGCCACCACTGGTTTAGGACAAATTTCATACACTGGGTTGATCCTATAAAATCAACAGAAGAGTCATGTCTTTGAACATCTACAAATTCATAGCTGTGTTAACTGGGGACAGGTGCATCTCACCCTGCCAGCATTGTATAAAGGAGAACACCCAAGCTCCAGATATCACAAGCAGCATCATAGCCTTGCCTCAGGAGAACCTAGAAAATGAACAAAAAACTCTGTGTTATTGTTAGAAAGACCAGCCTTGGCCACACTCAGTTTTAGAAGTAAATTTATATCAGCATTTTTCAACCTTCGCCACTTTAAGATGTGTGGACTTCAACTCCCAGAATTCCTGAACTAGCATAATGGCTGGGGAATTCTGGGAGTTGAAGGCCGTGCATCTTGAGGTAACCAAGTTTGAAAAACAATGATTTGAACTAATATCCAAAGAGCTGCTTAAATAAAAATAGTTACCTTTCTCTGAAATGCTGCAGTAGTACAGTATATAGAGCAATAATCAACATTCAGCTGAATTCTGGGTTTCCATGTTTGCATACATTGAGAAGCCCATTTATATATGTCCTCGTTTGAGAGAGTAAATCAATTGCTATGTTGCAAAGAATAACAGAGCAAAGCAATAGACCCCCCAACAGCCCCCCCCAAACTCATGAAATACAAATATTTCCTGGAGATTTAAAAATACAATGAGTTAAAATAAAACAGGGACATGCATACCTCTGGTGCCACAAAATTAGCAGTGTAGCAAGGTGTTAAGAGAAGCCCATTCTCTCCCCGGAGTTGCTTGGCAAAGCCAAAATCACAGATCCTGATGGAATCAGCATTATTAGAATCATCCATATATAAAATATTACTTGGTTTAAGATCCCGATGCACAACCTAAAAAAACAAAACAAAACACAGACAACCACATATAAAACCCAACTGTTCAGGCTGAAATCAGGGGGGGGGGGGAAACCACTCCAAGCCTTTCAGAAATGTTAAAAAAAGATTAAGTAATTCTATCAGACTCTGGAGCAACAGAAATAGAGTAGAATGAGTGATTGAATGTTAAAGCCAATTTCTACAAAAATGTGACTTCAAAATTAGGAGCAGACCACAGAATCAATGTATTCAGCTGTAAGTTAAAAGTTAATCGTTAAATCTGATTTTCTCTTTTGCTTACAAACACATGCTTCTAAATCAGGTTTGTTTGTTTGTTTGCTTATGGACTGGTGGATTCATTCAATTTGTATGGCCGCCCAACTCAACAACTCACTCTGGGTGGCAAGCAATCTTAAAAACAAACAAACCCTCTCCCCCTCCCTCTTGATTTTGTCTCCAGCAATTGCCAGCTAAATTCTAAAATATAATATCCCACCTAGCTTTATTATACAGACCAATCTCTGAGCGCTTGTCCTCAAGTCAACCCGCTTACTGAAATGATAAGGATTCCTGTGTGTTTATTTGGTGCCTTTGAGTCAATGTTGACTCCTATTGACTAACTGGATCATTTTTCTGCAGTTTTCTTGACAAGATTTCAGAACTGCTGTTTCCTTGTCTTCTTCTTTCTAGGGATGAAAGAGACTGCCCCAAAGTCACCCAGCTAGCTTTCATGACTAAAGCAGGATTAGAACTCACTGTCTCCTGGTGATTGGCCCAAAGTCACCCAGTTGGATTTCATGCCTATGGTGGGACTAGAACCTAGAGTCTTCTGGTTATTGGCTCAAAGTCACCCAGCTTTCATGCCTAAGGCGGGACCAGAACCTACAGTCTTCTGGTTATTGGCCCAAAGTCACCCAGCTTTCATGCCTAAGGCGGGACCAGAACTCAACATTTCCTGGTGATTGGCCCAAAGTCACCCAGCTGGCTTTCATGCCTATGGTGGGACTAGAACCTACGGTCTTCTGGTTATTGGCCCAAAGTCACCCAGTTTTCATGCCTAAGGCGGGACTAGATCTCAACATTTCCTGGTGATTGGCCCAAAATCACCCAGCTGGCTTTCATACCTAAGGCGGGACCAGAACTCAACATTTCCTGGTGATTGGCCCAAAGTCACCCAGCCAGCTTTCACGCCAAAGGCGGGACTAGAACTCATGGTTTCCCAAGTTCTGGAGTGATGCCTTAATCATTACACCAAACTGGCTCTTCAGGATTTCAGTACATGGATATTTATTTATGTATTTAAAAGATGCGTACAGCTGCCCATTGTAAAGTACAACTCTGGGCAGCTTGCAGCAAGCACAAAGCCAAGATCCAAACAAACCCTAAAAACATAAACTCAAAACTTCATTAAATTATCAAATTGTGCACAGCTTACTCCTTGACAGTGCAGGTAGTCCACAGTCTTAGCGATAGTGTACAAGACGGCACTGGCTTCACGTTCTGAGAAATACTTCTTTCTGAGAATACGGTCCAGAAGCTCACCTCCCTTCATCAATTCTGTGACAAGGTAGATATATTTACCATCATCGTACACCTGCAGAAGTTTAATATAGTTGAGTAACACAGACTCCAGGAAAGGTGCATGAAACACAAGGTCTGCCTAGAGGCACATTCGTCAGAAGAGCCTGATTTTGCACAAATAACTTTTTTTTTAAAAGGTTGCAAAGATTCCAGACTTCTGAATAAATTTTTGCTGCTTCAGCCTGGCAGATGAAAAGACATTGAGGGATTGGGGGAAAAAGAGGATCACGTGCTATGGGGTTCTTTCCCTTGCCATAAAGCAGGGGTGTCCGGCTTTGGCAACTTTAAGACTTGTTGACTTCAATCCCAGAATTCCCCATGTTGGCTGAGGCATTCTGGGAGTTGAAGTCCACAAGTCTTAAAAGTTGCCAAGGATGGACATCCCTTCTGTAAAGTTAATACAGATGAAATTACATTTCCACCCAGTTGGGAACAATAAACCCCATAGACCTGTGTAGACATACCACAACAAAGCCTATTTTTAATCAAATAGAATCATATTTCATTGATAAATATCGAGAACTTCTCTTTTTGCATTCCAGTAGAGATCAAATCAGATGAAAGAGCTACATTCCTTCAACTGTTGCCGTTTGTACACTATTTGGAAACCAAACAGAATACTTACATCCTTTAGAGTAATAATGTTGGGGTGCTGTCCATATCGCATCAGGATTTCTATTTCTTCAGAAGGATCCCTCTTACTTTTATCAATTATCTGGAGGGGGGAGACAATGACAACAAGGAAGCATGACAAGAGATTAAATTCAGCACAACAAAGCACATTTCTATTTAAGAAAGAATTATATAGTCATTCTAAATAAGATGAAAATAATCTAAATCTTACTTTAATTTAAACTTATTAAGAACAGCTATAAAACATTTATTAAATGTGGACTAATTTATGTACAGTAGGTTGTTATACATGTTTAGATATTTAAAAATGACATGGATAAAAACAGTGCCCTACATACCTTCACTGCAAATTCCATACTGGAAACTGTATGAATGCAGCGCTTACACACTGAGTAGGAACCCACACCAATGTCTTCTTTAAGTTCATAGGCATCTGTGAAGAGTGCACTGCTCCCATGAAGTTGCTAAAGAACGCAATAAAACAACATTTAAAGGCTTGCAATTATTTCATAAACTTTTTCAGAATGTTTCTGCAGGCACCCTGCTTCTTATCATCTCCACACAACTTGGACTTGTGAAAAGAAAAGGAATTAACTGTACTTAACCACATTTTATCATCTATATGTAGCAAAAAATCATGACTAAGAAAAATATATTCTAACATTTTTTTGTTATAAATAAGGGGAAAGTGTCTGCATGAAATTCAGTGAAAATAATAACCCTGCTTGGATTCAACAGAATTTAATAGTTTACTCTCAAGTGGATTATTATACGACCTTTGTGTTCTGAAGGAGACTTTCTTTTAAGCCCCTTTCCAAAAAAAAAAGAAAAAAGAAACAGACATATAGACAGATATACTTCATCTTTCAATCTAAGAAGCCACCATTCTCAACTGGGAAAGTGTGTGACCTCTTACAACTTATTATCCCTACATTGTTTTTTCATAGTTGCAAAACCGGAAAATCAGACTCTTACACCAGGCAACACTAGTGAACAAGCATTTCTCTCAAGTTTTAATACTATATAAATTGGTCAGGAATGGCGGTTTCAATATTTCTGCACGCACAGACTAGAAACTCCACACGCACAACCCCCTTTTTTTTACCTGTACGATTGGCAAAATGTTGTTGAGAGGGGTGAGTTTGTGGTCTTCTATGGAGCTCGTCGCAACAAAACTGAAGCCTTTGAAAAGCTGATGGGCGTTGGCGCTTGGAGGAACTCCTGGAGAATCTTAATTAATTGAACAGCAGGATACGTTAGCTTGCCCAAAATATAATGCAAAATATTCTCTTTCATAATGCAGATTTATCAAAGAATCTTCTTTTGGAAAGATGGCAAATTCAATTCAGTGACGTTAAACCAAATAATTAGCGTGGAAAAACTAATTCAATTAGTCAATTTCAATTCAGTGATGTTAAATAAAAGCCACTTTTTTTAAAAAAAAATCTAAAAATGAATAGCCTCTTTATAATATTTTTGATGGAGACCGATAGGATTGCCCTATATTTATTTAGTCTTACTAGGAATTTATACCTATATTTCAATTATTACATTGAACTTTTCAATGGAAAATTCTATTATGAAAGAGAAACGGGGGGAAGAAAGATACAATAAAGCAGGGCTTTTCAACCTTTTCACCCATTGTACCACTTTCAGGATATGGCAACATCTGAGTACCACCAGTCGCCTAGCAAAGTGTCAAAAACTTGATGACCAAAAAAAAATAAATAAAAAGGAAAAAGTGATAAAGTACAGGTAGTCCTCAACTTACAACAGTTCGCTTAGTGACTCTTAGAAGTTACAATGGCACTGAAAAAAATGCCCCCCAAGCCACAGCCAAGCAAGACACCTGCCTGCCCGCCCGGCGGTGCTCTTTCTCCTGTCTGAGGTTTTCATTGTTGTGAGCATTTCTGTTGAGGATTGGCAGCTAGAGTGGGGTGGGGGGTGTTTGCTTTTTATTCCCCCCATCTGCTGGGTGATTGCAGCAGGTTTTGGTCACTTCACATGACCCTGGGACACTGTGACCGTCATAAACATGAATCAGTTGCATCTGAATGTAAATCACAAGACCCTGGAGATGCTGCAACATTCCAGCTGATCGGCGCTTCTTCAGGGCTCAGCAGAAGCACAAGGATCAGTGCCGAGCTCCAGCTGGAGCCTGGCACTGATCCTGGCACTTCTGCTGAGCCCTGACAGCCCTGCAGCTCCAGCCATCTCTCGCTCAGGCTTGTGCGGTGCTGCCACCCGTTCAGCTCATTCCCCTCCCCGCTACCACTTTTCTAGGATGGTCGCGTACCACCTGCCAGGTGCCACAGGTGGTACCCATACCACTGATTGAAAAGCCCTGCAATAAAGGTCGTTCCTGGTTTACGACTACAAAATTGAGGCCAAAATTTCTGTTGCTAAGCGTGACTTTTGTTAAATGAGTTTTGCCCCGTTTTATGGCCTCTCTTGCCACAGTTGTTAAGTCAATCACTGCAATTGTTAAGTTAGTAACATGGTTGTTAAGTGAATCTGACTTCGCTTGCCAGAAGGTCGCAAAAGGGGATCACGTGATCCTGGGACGCAGCAACCGTCATAAATACGAGTCAGTTGCCAAGCACCCGAATTTTGATCACATGACTACGGGGATGCTGCAACGGTCGTTAAGTGTGAAAAATGGTCATAGGTCCCTTTTTTCAGTGCCGTTGTAACTTTGAATGGTCGCTAGATGAACTGTTGTGAGTCGAGGACTGCCTGTAATGCACTGTATTCTTTTCAATATTAGGATATTACCTTTGGGAGTTTTTGCTGTGAATTCTGGGTCAAAGCAAAAGGTGTCTTCCGGTCTTCCAGAAGCAGGTTTAAATGGAGGCTGGATCTCCCTCCTGTAAAGTTTCTGGAATCAGAATCACAAAAAGAATATTTCGCCATAGATTAGCATGGATTTATATTGCTTTCCTAATGGGAAGTTGTGTGCTTCTGCAGATTCAGTTTTTAAAGCCTTTGCTTTCTGTGACTGGGGCTCTTCCCACCCTTGTCACTGTCCCCAGAGCCATCTGGAGATACAGAAAGAACGATGAGTAAAACTCAACTTCTCCTCTCCTTCTATTACAGAAGACCTTGCTTCTTCAAAGAGACTTATTGACGAAAACTACTTGATGCAAGTATAAGTATTCTCTAAGCACTAGGTAGTCACTATGATGGAATCAAGAGGCATCAGGCTTTTCTTGAACCTGCATTCTCCTATTTCTATAAATGCTTTTGGAAAGCTTCTAAATGCTATGAAAAGAAATAAAAATTATGTACTATTAGGTGCATCTAAGTTGCAAAAGAGGAGGAGGAGGAGGAGGAGGAGGAGGAGGAGGAGGAGGAGGAGGAGGAGAAGAAGAAGAAGAAGAAGAAGAAGAAGAAGAAGAAGAAGAAGAAGAAGAAGAAGAAGAAGAAGAAGAAGAAGAAGAAGAAGAAGAAGAAGAAGAAAAAAAAAAATAATTTATTGCCGCATCACTACCCCATTACTATCTTATTTTGGTAGAAATAATGTACGTTGGGTAATTTTGCTTTACCTGCTCAAGGTATTTCCCAACATTAAAAAAATGCAAGCGTTGTCAGGCATTATATCAAACTTGAGTCCTTACTAGAATGGTATCCTGAGTACAGATTTATTCCATAGACTCACATTCCAGTCAATGGTTGAAAAGAAGGGATGCCTCTTTATTTCTTCAACCCCATCAGGACCAGCCCCTATAATTTCAAGGAACACAACACACAACATGATTGCAAATCAAACAACAATTACATATGCCGATGAAGGTCCCCATCGATTGAGAGATGCAATCGGAAGGGTCCTAAAAGTAAGTCTACTTGGCATGAGTTCCCTTCCACTAGAAGAATTTGCTTTCTGTGCCTATGGCTCTTCCCACCCTTGTAATTGTCTCTCTTTTATCCTTTGACCATGGTATTTTGAGGTGAAGGTCCAGAACATCTGGAAATTTCCACCTCGAGGAAGACTGATATACGCAGGACTAACTTACCTAGCCTGTTTGAAGGATTCCTTTTAAATAACAACCTCAGGAGACTCTGAGCTTCAGGGCTAAGGAACTGTGGCATTCCAAGTTTTGCTCTGGGAAAAGGGAAAATTCGGATTCAAGAAGTGCTTTCTAATTAAAAAATCAAATGCAAACAATGTACTCAAATGGGACTTTTGAACTGGCCGCCAGTTTGGGGAACACCGTCCTAAGGGTTGAATCAAATCCATATGCTTTTTCCTCTGTTTTAATAATGGATAAATACCTTTATGTATTTTTATTGCAGAGTTCCCTAATCAGGAGGCTGGAATAGAAGTTTTGCTTTGCTTTGATAAACACTTTGAAACTAATTAAAGCCTGAAAACCTGAAATAAAACTATCCTATCCAAAACCACTCACTTTTGCCCATATGTGAAATTTTCAAACAGCTTAGATAATGAAGAATTTTGGGCAGGGTTTTAAGGTTTATCCCTCTTGATAATCATTTTATTGTTATCAATGGCATGTACTGCATGCCATCTTTGTTAACTTGCAAATACTTAGCAATGGAACCAGTTCTGCACAGAAAAATACTTACTTGAGGATCATATTCATAGTTTCATTCCTGTCTTTACCTTGGAAAGGTAAAGTACCAGTCAGCATTTCAAACTGAGAAAGAAACAAAGAGCAAACATTTAGAAAACAAGCAAACAAGATTTAAGCTTCCAGAATTGAGATTTAAGAAAAGCCTGCTTCTTATTATAATGTATTGCGAAGGTGCACTAATTTGCACTAAAACCGAATTGTTAAATTCATAATAGATAATGGATAAATTATGCTACATCTTCATAATCACTTTAGCCAATGTCTATCCACTGCAGGATGAAGGCTCTTCCACATATTTCCAACCCATAAGGCCTGACCTTTCTATTATGCTAACTAATAACTATATTAAATTTTGATAACATTTGATACCTTCAAAGCATTTTGCACTGATACAGATTTGAGTAATGTAAATAGTCAAACAAAACTATGGTGGCTGCAAATGCATTTATAACTTTGTTTAAAGAGTTAATGACAGCTATAAACACTTCATTATAATCACATTTACCATAGCATTATGTAATATGTTTTCCAATATCCAATGATGGTTTAAGTGTTCGTTCCTCAGCAATTTGGCTCAAATTAATATGAAGTGTGTTCAGTTCAACTCAGAGAACAGTTACAAATAACACACTTTCCCTCATGATGTAAGCTTAGCATCAGAAATATTATAATTGTAAATTATAACTTATTACATCTCATTAAATTTGTATATCACTAAATAACTCTGATTCCTGGCATCTTATAAAATAAAATGTAATAAAACCCCCCACGGTAAGAGTATAAAATAAAATAAACAAAACATTCATGGCAATAAAACCCCAAATAAATAAACATGTTGAACCTACAACTCCAAAAATATCAAACCCGAGCACAATATTATTACAATAATAATACAATTTGTGCGGTCCACGTTGCTCTATGACAGTGGTTCTCAACCTTTCTAATGCCGCGACCCCATAATACAGTTTCCCATGTTGTGGTGACCCCCAACCACTTATACATCACCGGATGCCAGGGACGTGGCCAAAGAAAAGGGGGAAAAATGGCGGACAGCCTTGTTTGGCGACCCCCGTGAAATGGTCGTTCGACCCCAAATGGGGTCCCGACCCACAGGTTGAGAACCACTGCTCTATGAGCTTAGTGGTTTTTCTTGGAGGTGTTTCGTCACCAAACTAGGCAACATCATCATGGAGTATGCATGGAGTAATTGATGAAGTTACCTAGGTGGGTAATGACATCTCTGCAAGAAAACAACTAAGCTCAGAGAGCATCAAGAACATCATAGTTGAACCCTGTGAAATGCAACTATTCCTTTCTATCATTAATACATCATGAGTCTCAAATGCTTATGACATGCAACCCAAAATCAGGCCATTAGTGCACAGTACCATGAGGACACCAAAGGACCACCAATCGGCACTTTGGTTGTGGCCCCGCCTGTTCACAACTTCAGGGGCCATGTATTCTACAGTACCGCAGAAAGAATAGGCTTTCTTCTCTTGATCCACCGATTCTTTGCTTAAGCCGAAGTCTAAAACAGCATCACAAAGACATACCAAGCAAAGAGACACTGAGCAACGTCAGTCATAGAAAGTTGAGATTAGCATGTGAGTTAGCAAGTTGAGATTAGCATGTGGGAAATTATGTGATCAATGTCACCCTCCAGCTATCATGAAAAGTCTACTTTCCTTAAGACTACCCAACGAGAAGCGGTAATGGAAGGACACCATCTCTTCACGATCTCTTCTTAATCTCTTAGCCAGTCATGTGTCATAGTATAAGCTCCTTTTGTACTTGCATTGTAATTGTTGCATGCAGGTCATAAGAGGCAAAACTTGCAACATGCTATGATGCTCATGTCATCATTTTGACCAAATCTCTATTTGCTACAGGCACCCCCTGAGCCGAACAACACCAGAAAGGTGATAGGTTCCTTTTCATAGCCTAAATTTTAGTAGACTGAGACCCAACCCTATCCATGAACTCTTAAATTAATTACTAAAGAAAACAATTAAAATGGCCTCAAGCAAGCCCACCAAAATACCCACAAGCTGCATAATAACACAGCATAATAACACTAGTGCTATCTTTCCTGTCCTTTCCTAGTTACAACAATTCATGATTCATTGACATTACAACTTTATGCTTGGTTGGAAGAATAAATTATACATAAAGTAAGTTATGATTGTGCTTCACCCATAATGATAGAGACTTGATTTAGACATAAAAGCAAAATGTCTCACCACTGGGTTGTTGAAAAAGTTTGAAGGGGAGAATTGGTTTGGATTTAACATTAGCTTAGTTTCTGGGAAGCTTCATCAAACTAAGGCTTTGATCCAGCATTTCTCACCCTTGATAGCTTTCAGATCTGTGGACTTCAACTCCCAGAATTCCCCAGCCAGCATGGCTGTCTGTGGAATTCTGGGAGTTCAGGTCCACATATCTTAGAGTTGCTAAGGTTGAGGAACACTACTTTGTTCTCTGAACAGCTTCCACCAGTGTCCAAGTGACAGATTTATACAACAGTACAAAGACCAAGCTAGAATTTTCAACTGTATATCTTTCTCCAAGTGGAGGATTTCAACTTAATGCAAGCTCCTCCTACATATGCATGATATCTTTTCTGCCAAAAAAAAGAAGCAGAGTCCATGCTGAGGTTGCATACTCAATTCTGCTCACCCTATTTTAATATTTTTAGCCAACTATAGTGTAGCAAGCTAGCTAACACTGCTTTTCTTCTAAGCATGTTTAGTCCACAGGTGTCATTTTTAGTCAACAAACCTCAAAAATACTCTTTTCCCAAAAGGTTTCCAAAATTTTGGCCACTACTGTATCTGCAGTTAAGTACAGAATTAGAATAATGAACATCAATATTTCTTCAATAGGCTAAAAAGCCACTGTCTGGTTTTAAATTAATTGCATTTCTACGATCTATTTAGAGAGTGTTGTTGTTGCTGTAACACTTGTTTTGATTAGTTGTTTTATTATATTACTGGAGACTTTGTTTTGCTTTTATTGTACATACATATTAGTTGCCCTAACAGTTGGTGCCTAGGAAATGTTATAAATAAGCAATTATTACTTTTTGACAGATCCAAATGGAACGGCTTCTCGTAAAGCACACCAAATACTCTAAACAGCATGACAATAAGAATCAAAAACACACGAGAAAATTTACATATTCCAGAGAGATTGAAAAGGGGTAAGAAATCCACATAGCTGCCTCTGAAAGTACAACATACACAACTGTACAACTGCACACATGGCCTTAACCAAAAGGCTGTGATACTACTTTTAACTCAATTTTTAATGGTTGTGTTTGAATGATGTTGGTTATTTAGCTTTATGTTTTAATTGTGTACACCGCCCAGATTCACATGCATGAGAAGGGCAGTTATATGAATTCAAGAAATAAATAAATAAATTTAGAGAGCAAGAAGCTAGGAGAGCTGTAATGTTTTAACTGGCATTGTGTTAATTTCAGCCAACATTTGGAGTATCACTGAGTCAAACACAGAAAAGCACCTGTTTGGCCAAATGCTAGAAATAAAAGAGAAGAAGGTTTAAGCTTAGGTTTGTATCATTTCTGGACATGGCCTTTGAGGGCCAGATCCTGAAGTTGAAACTCAAGTACTTTGGCCACTTAATGAGAAGGAAGGACTCACTGGAGAAGAACCTGATGCTGGGAAAGACGGAGGGCAAGAGAAGAAAAGGACGACAGAGAATGAGGTGGCTGGATGGAGTCACTGAAGCAGTAGGCATGAGCTTAAATGGATTTCAGAAGATGGTAGAGGACAGGAAGGCCTGGAGGAACGTTGTCCATGGGGTCACGATGGGTCAGACATGACTTCGCAACTAACAACAACAACAAATGGATCCCATCAAAAAGAAAGGGAAAGATTAATCTGTAATGAATGTCCAAAAGCTGCTTTTTCAAAAGGCAACTGGAGTTGGTTTTTCCTTGAAGACGTTTCTTTTCTCATCCAAGAAACTTCTTCAAGTTCTGACTGGAATCAGAACTGAAGAAGTTTCCTGGATGAACAACGAAACCTCTTCAAGAAAAAACAAAAATCCAGTTGCCTTTTGAAAAAGCAGCTTTGGGACAACCAGGACCTAGATGACTGAGAATCTCCATAGATATCTGTAATGAATCCTGACTTGGATGTGTGATTTTTTCAATCAACAATATTAAATCATAATTTATTTTAAATAGTTAGCAAAAGAAAAGCATAGACTAAAAACAGACTGTAGAAACATAACGGGTGGACTATATAAACTTCATTTAAAATCTTAAAACATCCTGGAATGGTATCCAGAGATTATTTTTCCCTACATTTTTAGCATTCTTTTGAAAATTTGCAGGGTTTCATTTTATATAACTACAAAACATGATTTTCTTGTTTTTCATAGAAGGCAAAATGTGAGCATTAGAGTCCCAATCTCCCTGAGCACTCTTCAAAAAGAGAAACGGATGGTTGATAATCAGCCGTGCTTTGGGTGGGACGCGGCGGGGGGCCGGCGGGGGGCCTAATGCTGTTTTATATCTTTGTAAAAACAAACATTCTTCTGTTTCGTGATACGTTGAAAATTCTAGCTTTGCAGTATGCCTTTGCAAGCCGTCTTTGTACATACTGTAGAGTTTCATTACTAGACATTATACTTTGATGTTACTCATCTGCTATGACAGATGAGAATACAGTAGACAGCTGGCAGATGTATTCACAGCACGTAGTCAGAGAAATCAAGAGGACGGCCACACCAGTGTGATTGGTCTCCATCTGTTGTCTGTGTGTAACACACTTAAAAATGGGGCCAGGTTATTTGAAGGACTACCTCAGTTACCTCTACTCAGCCCGCCAATGTGGAGATGCAGGGTATGTTATAGGTCGCCTCTCCTTAAATGGGTCCATCTAATGGGGACCAAGAAGGAACTTCTCCATAGTAGCTCCCTCCCTATGGAACATCATCCCCATGGAGGTAAGTTTGGTTCCAACCATCTCAGTTATTTCTACCCAACCCATCAATGTGGAGATGCAGGCTATGTTATAAGTCGCTCCTCCTTAAATGGGTCCAACTAATGCAGGGGTCTTCACACTTGGCCCTTTTATGACTTGTGGACTTCAGCTCCCAGAATTCCTCAGCCAGTGTGCACGCTGGCTGAGGAATTTTGGGAGTTGAAGTCCACAAGTCATAAAAGGGGCATGTTTGAAGACCCCTGATCTAATGGGACCAAGAAGGATCTTCTCCATGGTAGCTGCCTCCCTATGGAACATCATCCCCATGGAGATAAGTTTGGTTCCCACCTTGGCATTCTTTTAAAAGGCCAGAAGACATAGTTTATGGTCATATGGAGCCCATCAAGTGGAGGTGACGGTTTATTGGGTTTTATATTTGGGGCTTTATTTCTATTAGCCACCTGGTGTCGCCATGAGTGAGTTGGGAAGCCATATAAGTTCTCTTAATGAATAAATAAATAATGAAAATGGGTGGAGCTTTGACTGAAGCATCAGGGCTTCTCTCTTCACTTTTTTGACCACGTCTTGCAGACTCCGCCCCAGCTGGAATGGACACTGGAGGAAGGCTCAAGAAGAAGATTACAGCCAGTCTAAAATAAACCGATTCTTTTAGAACTGTAGCATTTATTCAACAAAAAGTTGAAAAATAATTCAAGGATTAAAGGGAGGACCTGACAGATGAATCTCTCCAGAGACAACTTGACCCAGTTCAAAATAACCTGCTGTTTTTAATCAGTTGAGGCTATTTACATAAATAAATATATATATATATATATTAAAAAGCTATACTAATAAGTTTCACCTACCTGTTAACTTGATATGTCCTGCTTCATCAAGCAAAATGCTGAAAATTAAAATTCACATTCACCAATGCACATAACGGGAGTATTTTAATAAGACAGTTGAGCAAATTAGAATACTATAGTAAATTACATTTAATTAATTAAGAATTTTCTGAAAAGATATATTTTGAAGAGAGAGAGAGAAAAAAGCAGAGTACAGGTAGTTCTCGACTTACCACAGTTCATTTAGTGACGGTTCAAAGTTACAACAGCAATGGCTTATGTCCATTTTTCACACTTATAGCCGTTGCGGCATCCCCCACAGTCACATGACCAAAATTCGGAGGCTGAATTGTCCCAGAGTCAAGTGACCCCCTTTTGCAACTTTCTGACAAGCAAAGTCAATGGGGAAGCCGGGTTAACTTCACAACGCTGTTACTAATTCAATAATTACAGCGATTCACTTTACAACAGCGGCCAGAAAAGTCATAAAATGGGACAAAGTTTGCTTAACAACTGTCGCATATAACCACAAAGATTTTGGGCTCAATTGCAGTCGTAAGACGAGGATTACCTGTATAGCTCTTCTGCAGTGATTTCGTATTTATTTTATGGCAAATACAAAGAAGCGTTTAAATAAGAGTACCATAAAATAGTGGATAAAATACATTTTACTTTACTTTTCTGGCTTCAAGTCCCTGTATACAATTCCCAAGCTGTGCAGGTGATCCAAAGCTAGAGCCAGTTCTGCGAGGTAGAATTTCACATCTTCCTCTGTAAACATAACCTAATAAGAACTATATAGATTTACATTCCGGTCTTGTTAAATTTCTGCACATCAAAGACGTTCGCAAACCCCCACAACGTTTAAGGACCTGTGATGCAGATTACCTAGTCAGTGCTGCATGTTGCCCGTGATCTTGGATGACCCACAAGATGGAAATGTACATTTTATGCAACTTCAAAAAGGACACACCTTGATCCCATTATCCCAAAGATGCTTTTTCAAAAGGCAACTGGACTTTGTTTTTCCTTGAAGATAAAAGGAAAACAAATTCCAGTTGTCTTTTGAAAAAGCACCTTTGGGAGAACCATGATCTGGATGACTCAGAATCTCCATAGACATGGATCCTATTAGTTTTCCAAGGATAAATATTCAGAGCATGCCCTCCGATGCACCTCACCAATGACAAATGAATGATTAGAAGGGAAGTGGAATGGTGACTTCTGGAAAGACATGTGTCCAGCAGAATACTTAATTCCTCTGCATGAAAAAAGGTCCAGATAAAATCTAGAGATTCTTACTCTCTATTTCCCATTCATCATCTCTCCAGGATGAAGAAATCTTCAAAAAAATGGTCTTCCATAACTGGGACAAAAGGAAGAAGCAATAGCAATAGCACCCAGTCCTATGTTCTACTCCATACAGCCCTCTCTAAGCAGTTTACAAAGTCAGCCTCTTTGCGCCCAACAATCTGGGTCCTCATTTTACGGACTTCAGAAGGATGGAAGTCAACCTTGAGCCAGTCAGGATCGAACTCCTGGCAGTGGGCAATTAGCCTGCAATACTGCATTCCAACCACTGTGGCACCATGGCTCTTGAAGTATGGAGCTGCCTCAAAAGATAAGGGCTTTCTAATGCATAAATAAAATAATTTCCTATAAAGATGATGATTATGATGATTTAGAGCTACTGGTGGCTATCAATGCAATGCAATGCAAGGTATTCTTTAGCACAGTGTTTCTCAACCTTGGTTACTTTAAGAGGTGTGGACTTCAACTCCCAGAATTCTCCAGGCAACCTGTGGAATTCTGGGAGTTGAAGTCCACAGCTCTTAAAGTGGCCAAGCTTGAGAAACATTGCATTTAGCTTAGCATAAACATCTCGGAACACCACTCTTTTACAAAATATTTGTTTAGAAATCAATCAGGAAAAACACCAAAGAGCAGATACAGTACCCACACCAAACTTCACCCCCCCTCCAAATAATACCAAAATATGACCAAGCTCTCTTGATGTAGAGGCACACATACACATTTTCAATTCTTTTTTAAATAGGAGTTTTAAATGCACATGAAAGCATATTTTGAACTGAGTGACTTTCAAGTGCAAATTACTACCTGTTAAATAATCAAGGTAAATTTATTTATCTGAAAATAGCAGATCTTTGCTACGTTATGTGTAAGCTTCCCCCACAAACAGTTGCTAACAGGGCTTCTTGTCAGGGGATAGTTTTGCGTTGTTCATTTTATTGATTGTACTTTTATCTGTCAATGACTGAAATAAAATTTCTGTCTGTCTGTCAAGGGCAAAATATGCACATCTATCTAGAAATAAGTTCTACCATGCTTAATCCAGCTTACTCCAAGGTAAGTCTCTAAACTGATTCATATTAAGCTGATTACTCCTTTAAAAAAATCTAGAGTCACTGCAGGAGCTTTTAGTTGCAAATGAACGATGTCAAGCAACTCCTCTACTTGTTTGCACAGTATTCATACTTTCACTAGACAAAACTTCTCCACAAGATATTTTTTACTCTTGTAATTTGAGATCCCCACTGTTGAAGTTTCTCCCTAGCAGTATTATCTATGTCAGTCCAATCTCCATTTACCAGAACAAGATTATTTAAGTATCTCAAACAATTCCATATGATGAAAAGGTCTCCAAGATCGTAGAAAATAAAAAGTGAGAGCTAACCATTAAAAGACAAAACTCTGCAATTCTCTGAACTTGGTTGGAGCACCCCAAAAATTGAGTCCAGCATTTGTCTGTTGACTCATTAAAGCAGCCAGGTGATATGGGTTTTGCACTCCAGGGTGCTTTGAAGTATCTCTTCTTTTACAATCCTTTCTAAGACATTTCTAAGTCCTGGAGAGGAAAAAAAGACCTACTTCCTCACATAATGAGAATTGCTTTACTTATTAATACATTTGACCTCGTTGTGTTTTTACACAGAAACCTTTCCTTTGAGTGAGGAAAACAGCATTTCTAAAAGCAGAGAGTAGGATGATTTTTATGTAGTCATAACAGTGTAGGTGGTGTCTATTTATCCAATCCTGCCTTTTCTCCAGAAAGCCAAAAACAGCATACCACCCTCTTAACTTCATGACCAATTGTATCCTCACAATTTGGAGGGAGATTAGCTTAAGAGATACTAATGGCAAGTTGATCCAGTTTCTTCACCGCTGAAAAGTGATAGAGAGCCAGATTTCGGCAAAGAAAAAAACCCAGATTTGAAACTAAGATATATAAAACATATAAGGAACGGTTGCTGGAATTGGGTATGTCTAGTTTAATGAAGAGAAGGACGAGGGGGGACATGATAGCAGTCTTCCAATATCTCAGGGGCTGTCCCAAAGAAGAGGGAGTCAAGCTATCCTCCAAAGCGCCTGAAGGCAGGACAAGAAGCAACAGATGGAAACTAACCAAAGAGAGAAGCAACCTGGAACTAAGGAGAAATTTCCTGACAGAACAATTAACCAGTGGAACAGCCTGCCTCCAGAAGCGGTGAATGCTCCAACACTGGAAGTTTTTAAGAAGAGACTGGACAGCCATTTGTCCAAAATGGTATAGGGTTTCCTGCCTGAGCAGGGGGTTGGACTAGATGACCTTCAAGGTCCATTCCAACTTTATTATTATTATTATTATTATTATTATTATTATTATTATTATTATTATTATTATTATTTAGAATAAATGGATTTGAGCTAGTCATCTCCTCTGAGCATAGTTTCCCTATCACACGGATGTTGAAAATATAAAAAGGGAAAACAGAGCTCTTGGAAGAAAAGGCAAAGATAAAAATTCAGTAGAAGATTCCCACTTCACACTAGTGTTGACGATGTTTTAAAAAGTCCATAAATACATACCTCTTTGGATAATCTTGTGAACACATCTCCTCCCCTGAGAAAGTCCAATATTAAATATAGCTTTCCTTCAGTCTGGAAGGCTGTAAAGAGCAGCCATAAAATATGAATCAGTTTTGCAGAACAACAGATATGCAGCATAGATAAAACACTAAATAATATATCTTAATCACACGAGACATTTGGGGGCTCTAAACTTTTAACTACTCCAGGCAAGAGAAATCAATAGCATTCTATAAATTATTTGGCCAATATACTAAATTGAAATCCACATATTTAGGTAAAACTCTAAAATACTTTATTAGTATTTGACAGCATCACACTGGCAGACAGCATTTTTGTGACTTTTCTCATTTATCAGCCGGAAGACCCGCATCCAGGAAGCCCCCACTGGCACTTGCACAACATCTGCCTGACAACTTGGGTTGCTGAATACCCAGATATAGAAAGGCATATAAATGCCCCCATGCATAAGTTTCCAGACTTTGAACTACTACGTCAGCAATGGACAATCCTGAACAGGATTCGCACCCCACATGGATGTATAAATGGGATATAGTATCCTCCCCTCAGTGTGACTGTGGGGGTCCCACATCAAAATGTAGATCGTATCATGATGGGGTGTAAGCTGAGGGCATATACTGGATCATTATCTGATATTTTTAAATATAAATGATGTTGCACTTTGATGGTTAGATGGCCTAGACCAAGGGTAGGCAACCTTGGCTCTTTTATGACTCGTGGACTTCAACTCCCAGAATTCCTGAGCCAGCATAGTCCACGAGTCATAAAAGAACCAAGGTTGCCTACCCCTGGCCTAGACATTGGTATTTGAACATAGATTTTTAACATTTATATTTTATTGCATTCTATTAAACTAGATGAAATGTTGACATATATTACTAATCCATGTACAATATGCCAAACGCTAAGTAAATAATAAAACTCTCATCTAAATAAAGCCAGTTTTGTGGAAATCATTTAAAAATATCTGCTTGAGGCGCTCGTGGATCTAATCACACAATATGAAGTCTGCTTTTTTTCTTTTTTTAACCAAGCTAGTAGATGTAATCCAAACTCTAGAAATGAAAACATTTATTGGATAAACCTTGATCGAAGTCACAGACAATAATACTCACCATAGTGCAGTTTGACAATAAATGGATGATTTACTTCTACTAATATATCTCTCTCCATCTTTGTGCGGACTCTGTCTCGAACTGCAAACATAAGTTTTCCAAGAAGAGTGAAACTACATACATATTGATGCCTTTTACAATAAGCAAACATACAAAGGATTTTTGTGAACAAATTTATAGTAGTCATTTTCAGAAGCGTTCCAGTGTTTTCCATGGAGATTGCATGGGAAAGTTCAAGCAACTACCAACACCCAACGATCAAGACCACCAAAACATCATGAAAAAGCCACAACTGTAACAAGACCCACTAGGACAACATATTCATGAACTGCTGCCAACTTTCCGATATGTCATTTAAAGCAGCCGCTTCAACATTGTAATATTGTTAATCATTGAATTGAACATGGCTTCTGATCACTTACATGGGAATATCCTTTTTTTTTTTTTTTTTACTCATAGTGATATGGAACTCTCTTCTTCTAGACAAGAGTTTTTCACCGTTGGCAGCTTTCACATGTATGGACTTCAACTCCCAGAATTCCGTAGCCAGCATTTGGCTGGAGAATTCTGGGAGTTGAAGTCCACACATCTTAAAAGTCTACAGCATCTGCTAAGGTTGAAAAGTACTGTTTTAAAGGGTAATCTATTGCTCTGGGATTTCCCAATGGAATTGTATTCATATTTTAATCATGATTTTTGCTTAGCTTCTCATGATCAGTCAAGGTCATCCACATGCTGCTACTTACAAATCAGTATTACAGGTATGATTTAAAGTGAATCTAGTTTAAATATTTCATCAATTCCGGCAATAAATCCTGGGAATAAATCAGTAACTGCTGATTCCCTTTAATTTTATATAGTCTAAGCAGTCACTACTACATCTCTGTGATTAGACAAAGAGACTTTCACAACAGGGACAGATGATAGGGCTAAGAACTCACTAACCAGCTGGTTAGTGAAAAATCTACCTGTCAACGCTGCAAATATTGTATATTCTTGCTTTTGACAATATGCAGAACTGTCTGGTATTTATGGGGTTAATACAGAGCAGAAGGGGGTGGGGGTAAAGCCGGGAAAGAAAGAGGAAGAAAACCTTTGACCTTCACACTAATTGGATAGATATGACGGCTAATTTAGGGAGGGAACATGCTGATAATTTAACTGCTCAGAGGAAGAGAACTTAGATCCTAGCATCCCTCCGTTATGCATGTGCCGACATTTTGTAACAATCACTGACTTTTAGGAAAATAAATGCCTGGAAGTTCTTTGAAGTGTTTCATTAGCCAGAACCATAACACTACCATAATGAAATTATTTGCTTCCATATAAACATAGGCAATATTCACAATATTGAATCTGAATTCACACATTCATTCTACTGGATATTTCTGTTCGAATGCTACAATCTTCAATGGAATTTATCAGCATCTTTAAGATAAAGCTCATTATTAAGCTATAAATGGTGATATTTCACAAATAAAAATATAGCAGAAATATTTTTTAAAAATCAAGCATACCTTTCAATGAAGCTTTCTTTAGAACTTTCATGGCGTATAAATACCCAGCATCAGGACCAATTAGTTTTCTCACAAGAAAAACCTCAACAAACAAGAAAGATTAAATATAGTACAGTGTACGTATAGCTTGTGTAGTCCAATAAATTTCTTTCTAGTAACCACAAAGATTCAGATAACAGTATCTAAATGAGCTGATATAAGATATGCTATGTAAGTGTAGAATAATATTTCCAGTGCCTGTTTTTTTATCAAAATCCTAGTTCTCCAAAATTAATTTTATAGAAAATATTCCACTGCAAAAAAATACTATGCAATCCTGTAAGAACACAACCTAAATTGCTGCAAATTTAATCGTGGCACTTGAAAACCCCAAAAAGAACATCTATCATCAACTCCATTATCTAATAATTCAGTATAAATTTTATACCCTTTTTCCTTAAATCAGACTTCTCCAACCTGGAATCCTTCCAGATATGTGGACTTGATTTCCCAGAATTCCCTAGTCACTTAAGTCTAAGTGCTATTGCAATTGCTATTCCTATCGCTGCCCACAGCCTGGAGTTCGTTCCTGACCTGCTCAAGGTTAACTCAACCGTCCATCCTTCTGGTAAAATAAGGACCCAGATTGTTAGGGGCAAGAGGCTGACTCCGTAAACTGCTTAGAGGGCTGTAAAGGGCTATGGAGTGATATATAAGCCTAAATGCTATTGCTATTGTTACTGAAATGCTTACAAGGCTTACTATAGTAAGTTCCCCAACACTTAAAAACACTAGCCTTGTATCTAGTAGAGGAGTGGAATCAGGGGCTATATTGGGCACCCAACACAACATTGAAACAAACACGGCTTATATTTTTATTGTTACCTTTCCAAATGACCCTTGACCAAGGACTTTAAGCAATTCAAATTGTGCAGGATCTGCTTTTTCACATCCTTCTTTTACATGGTGGGTAATAGGGATCTCTTTGACACTTCCTTCATCCTATTTAAAAGGAAGAGAGAGAGAGAGAGGGAGGGAGGGAGGGAGGGAGGGAGGGAGGGAAGGAAGGAAGGAAGGAAGGAAGGAAGGAAGGAAGGAAGGAAGGAAGGAAGGAGGGAGGGAAATCTGTTAAGAATGAGTGCTATACTATTTAAGATATCTGTACCCTGCTTGTTTACCTAAAACAGCGGCTCTCAACCTTTTCTATACTCCACACCCCTAAAACGCTTCTAATATATTCTCACACCCCTTACAAAAGTTCGAAATAACGGTAACGAATTATGCATATGCACGATAATTTTGAAACTTCTAAACCCTAATTTTCGCATCCCCTGGGATATCGTCTCACACCCCCAGTTGGGAATCCCTGACTTCAAAGATACTTAAAGCAGATCGTTCATAGCTGTAAAGGATATTGTTTATGTTTTATGATTTGTAACACTGATTAATTGTTCTCACTGTCAGGAAATTTCTCCTTAGTTCTACGTTGCTTCTCTCTTTGATTAGTTTCCATCTGTTGCTTCTTGTCCTGCCTTCCATTGCTTTAGAGAATAGCTTGACTCCCTCTACTTTGTGGCAACCCCTCAAATATTGGAACACTGATATATTTTGTTCAGGTGATACTAGAAAGCATCTTAGCACTAGACTTGGGTGCACTAAAAGGTACCCCTTTCCAAGAAAAAAGCAGTTAAAAGTAGAATCCATGTGGCCTAGTCGCACAAAGACAAAAATAAATGAAGTTCCAGTATCCAACACCCCATGATGCTGCTTTTAACTTTTTTTTTTTTTTAAATATCGTTTGCATGAACTGATCCTAGCAGTTCATCTGTTTCTATGTTTAAAAGTGATCTGAAGTAACCCGGATTTGACAGGGGAACGGGTTTCTGTGGAAACTGACACAATAGTAATTAAATAAGAACTTAAGAAAACAATGCTTTTGAATGCCACTGTCAGTAGAAATGATGTTATACTCTCTTATTACCATAATCGGAACACTTGCTGGCTGAGTCATCGTAGACCTCACACAACTGAAGGATCTGAAATGCTACAGTACTTCCAGCGAATTCTAAATACTGAGTGGTAGCCACATAATAGAACGAACAAACAAACAAAAAAAGATTTTGAACAGAATTTGGAAATTCAACAGCTGTTAAGAGTGGGCAGCAGTTACACATGTAGCAGAACAGGAGAAAGAAAACATGTGTTGTACAACTGCCTAATGCTTCATCAGCTTCAAGCTTCTTCAATTTTGGCCTAACATCTTCCAAACATCTGCATTTTCAGTTTCTTCTTGTTTCTTGCAGCCCAATCTCCTAACTACAATAACAGTGAAATGTCGGCATGCACATTATGATACCATCAAGCACGGATGACATAATATCATATACAAGTATATAAATTGTTGCTATGCTTGATGATGCTCACCTGTGTGTCCTTCTCTTCATTTCTGAGGGACCCATCTTCACCTATTCATTTGATCTCCTAACACCTTAATTCTTTTAGCTTTTCCACAACAGTGCTTTAATTAGATGTTAAAATCTGGAACATCAGTAGCATAGATTAAACTGGGCCACAGCATGCCAGCAACCGGTCCGCACAAACAAGCAAAACCCCATCCATGGGATGCAGGCAGCACACAAAATCACGCCCCCTCTGGTCTGTGGAAAAACTTCTCTCCACAGAACCGATTCCTGGTGCCCAAAAGGTTGGGGACCTCTGGATTAGACGATTCAGCAATGTCGCAAGATCCAGCTTAAGTAATCAACTGGTTTTTACAATATTTATTTACTTCCTTCTTCCTCGATTCGACTTAAAAAATAGCAACAAATTCACAGAATTATAAAAAAGCAAACAAATGAAAAGAAAGTTTTCATTTTCAGTTCTAGATTGATGAACTGGGTTCATCTATGTTCCACCCATACTACTGTGACTGGATTTAAGCAGTGATGTACGGTATAATTTCTGTCCAATAGAATTGAGCAGAAATATCTAATGGCATGAATAAATGTAATATTATATTATTCTTAATTAAAATCCCAAGACTTTTATTTTTATAAATACAATAGTTTCAGGAATGTAGTAAAACCTTCTTATTATATTCTATTATTTTACTGCATTATTAATACAGCATTACAATAATATAATAAGCATATTTTAAAGTTAATATACTACCTCCAGCAAATTTATTTATGATTTCATCAAAACTAGTGAATGTCACCAATTAGCAGTGTTAATTAATATTATAAATATTAGTATGCTTCAGCTTTACCTAAATCTATTCTTAATATTGACTTTGACTACTGCAGTTATCATTTCAACATGTTTAAACATTCCCAAGATCAATTAGAACATTACTATAAGCCACATTCATTTTTTTTCTTTTAACAACCCTGTAAACCTGTAACATCAAGTTGGAGTCGGAGCGACTGAATGGAGCTGAGCATTTACTGGCTGGATGCCCTTCCTGATGCCTACACAGAATTCACAGCAGGTATTTCCTCTTTGTGCTACCTAGGACCGAACTCACAGTCTCTTGAGATGTTATATTTTCCAGCTCCCAGACCTTGTGCGGCTAATATTTAAAAAGAAGCTTGTCTAATAAGAAAAATGCCACCAATCTCCTGAATTAATCATCTTATCAATTCTAATTTACATGGACGCATTTCTATGTGTGGCAATTTTGGGGAAGAACACAAACCACAGAACAAATAAAGATCCTTGGCCAAAAGTTTCTCTTTAATTAACTGTCAACACATTTACTAATGAGGCTTACTAAATATACGGTTAGAACCTTAGTTCTCATGTTAGGGACAATGTAATTTGTTGGGATTGAGTGGGAGTTTCTTCCAGGATAAGCATTAGAATCCGTGGACAATTTCCACATTTCTTTTGGATTCTTTTCTCTCTTTTTTCCAGCTTTTGAAACACACCCACCCACCCACACACACACACACACACACATAGTATGTGTATGTGTGTGTGTGTGTTTACTTTCTATATCAGCAGGGAAATATAAATCGGAGCAATTGTCAACAAGAATTAGCATTTCATTGTCAAAATAGTTTTAAGGAGCTCATTTCCTAGTTATGTTTGCAAGCAAAAATACAAGCTATTAGAAGAGAATGAATCTGGTATCCCTGAGACAAAATAAAATCAGAGCAAGCAACACCATATTAAACAACTACCCCAGAATTAAAGCACCAACATTGACCAAAACACATTTGGAGTATTTCAATTTGGCATTTCTGATAATGAATATGACTTACAAGAGAACAGTTCCTCTGTTGTAATGGGTTTTAAGTCTATGAGCTGAGAACTGTTTTGTCTTTTTCACCAGGTCTGTAATTAGCCATCATATAAATTTCTTAGAACCCTGCAGTGTGTGAATGGTAAACACGGCTAATAAGTTGATAAGGTATCAAACACAATTCCTCCCCATAACTTTCTCTAAGCAGGAAAGGAGAAATGGTTGTTGCAAAAAAGTCACTTTTGCAAACTTAATTTTCAATGTTGTTTTCCACCGCGGGGCTGAGTAGATGGCAGCAGGCAGCTAGCCCTAACTGATCTCAGAAATTAAGCAGCGATCAGCCCTGGTTAGTTCTTGATTGTGAGAATTAGATGGGAATTCCAAGGCAACTGGCTAGACTGGAAAATAGAAAAAAAGAATCTCAGAAAAAGGCAATGGCAAACCACTTCTCTTGGGAATGTCAAGAAAATTGCATGGATATAACCACAAAGAATCAAGTTTGACTTCAGGGCATCTTTATCCCTTTGAATCAAAAACTTGAGATTTGCAAAAATTTCAGTTGCATGTTCGGACTATAACATTCTGTTAGCTACCATTTTTTCCTGCTTCAAACAAGCAGAAGCTCCGGATGTAATTCTAATAGAATTAGATTTGATTTTATTTTTTAAAAAATGCAGACTTACGTCTTGAAAATATGTAATTATTTTAAAAACACAGCTAGGCAAACCAAATCTTCCCTGATGAAGAAGCAAGGAAAATTTTGTTTGTCTCCTCTTTACATCTCTTTATAATTTGGTTTTCTTGCATTCAGTCTGGTCCAGTTCTTATAGACTGCCTGAAAAATCCCTGCAGTTTTTTTGGCAAGTTTTTTTCAGAAGTGATTTGCCATTGCTTCTTTCCTAGGACTGAAAAAAAGTAACTGGCCCACAGTCACCTAGAGGACTAGAAATCACAATCTCCTGGTTTTTAGCCTGATGCCTTGATGACTATACCCAACAGGCTCTGCATATAGTATAAAGCTATTTTAAAAGACTTCAACAGATGTTCCTATCATGAAGAATACCCCCAAATGTACTTACATTACAGGAATATGGTTCTCCCTCCTCCATAGGTTCATCCACCATTTTAATGCCATTCAGCTACAAAATAAAGAGGCATCGTGAATTCAGATACATAAGCAATCATATATATATTTGTTAACAGTGTGACCAAAAAGAAATTGAGAAAGCTGTTGCACTTATTTTAGGTAGAAACATTAGCTAATCCAAAATAATTTAAGCATTGGGTCAGAAAATTGTTATAGGTAGTCCTTGTTTAGCAACTGTTCACAGTTATGACAGACCTTCCCAGAGCTACATATGACCTGTTTTTGAAGTTCTGATAGCCACATACACATGTCCCGCAGTCACGTGATTGCATTCATTTATGGCTGTTTGCAAAATCCTGCAGCCATGTGACCTCATTTTTTTTTAACGTTTTTTGCCTGTTGTCTGGGGGGGGGAAACACCCATTGGGAAAATTGACTTCTTTAATGACTGTCATGTTCCCTTAACAATTGCCACATTTGCATAAAAAACTGCTGGAAAAAAAGTTTGTAAAATCAATCATGGTCACCTGGTGGCCCCCCATCACTCATAGCCACAATTTCAGGCTCAATTAACAGTTGTAAGTCAAGGATTACCAGTATCCTGTGTCACTGAGCGAAGAACTGGTTAGGAATCTAAACTAATCACATTTTGGGTTGGTTTTGGCCTTGGCCTTATCTTTTTAAAACAGGTATATTCCTGTAAGTGAAATGGGTGTTTTATGGACATCCCATGCCCCCCGCTACAAATTTACTAAAGGGGTGGACTTTTTCTGCTTGATTATCAATGAGATTAAGAGTGCTGTTTCAAATTCCCTCCCCAAACTCAAAGATTGGGAGAAGCACAATGGACAGGAAAATGGAAAGAGTTAAGAAAATCTTCCCCCCAAGATGATATTTTGAGGAAAAAGTCATTGCTAATAGCCATTTCCTTTCAGTCTATCGGTTTGTACCATCCTTTTTTTCCCCCAGGAATTAATATTAAAAGCAACTGCAGTTTTAAAAAAAACATGCTCTCCAATCAACTTGGTCAAATCCACAAGTTGATAGCAACAAAATATAATAGGCAACAGAGCAGAGATGCTAAAGTAAGCCATACATACTTTCAAAACATACAAGGAATATTTATGCTTAATGTTCTCAGATGTTTATAAAGCAACAGAAGTACAAACCATGGCTACCCAAACTTCTGTTCTAAGATGAGAATAACCAGAAAACTTTGATAGTGTGTCTTGGTAAAACAACAAGACAGAAAAAAAAATGTGTTTTTATTTTTGTATTAGCACTCAATGGATTTTATGCTTTTTCAGAAAATATAGAAAAGCCGGTGAAATATTTGAAATGATGGTTAGCTAATATTCTGGTTTTGAAAATGAAACCATCCCTTGGATTGTATTTGAGTACTTAAAGAGGATGAAGAAAAAGTGGAAATGCCAAATTGAACTAATGGGTTAAAGTGTACGGAGGCTAATTATGTGAGAATTTTACTAAATTCTTTAAAAAAAAATCAAGTGAAACAGCATCAACTGCTAAAAGATTGTTACTTCAGACAGATGGCTCATGAGATTTTCTTCTCAATCTAATTTTAAATAATTGGCCCCCTTTAATGAAAAGTCATACCAAGCTAAATCATCTTTTTCAGCCTTTTTTCCCTTACTATGAAGTTGCTAAATTTGTTGCTAAAGTTGAAAACTTTAAAGTCTGCTCTTGTCCTAACATGTCGATTATGTTCATTAAAAAAACTGGAAGAACCCGATAAAGAACGCGAGGGTAATTATTCATTTTGCTAGATGAATTATCATACAACTCAGCAACAACTCAAGTTCATCCACTCTCCCATCCTACAACATGCACACGTATCGGCACACACCCATTACCACATGCTAAGAAATGGCTTTCTGGATTATTAAAGCAACAGGATTATTAAAGCAACTCTCTACCACCAAGTTCTGGGTGTTGTACACAAAATGAAACAGGATGTTATTTATTTATTATTAACCCGCCTTTATTATTTTTTTTTACAAATAACTCAAGTCAACAAACGTATCCAACACACTTTCTTCCTCCCATTTTCCCCTTAATGAGAGAGAGAGAGAGGGAGGGAGGGAGGGAGGGAGGGAGGGAGGGAGGGAGGGAGGGAGGGACGGAGGGAGAGAGAGAGAGAGAGAGAGAGAGAGAGAGAGAGAGAGAGAGAGAGAGAGAGAGAGAGAGAGAGAGAGAGAGAGACTGACCCAACTGGCTTTCATGGCTAAGATGGGACTAGAATTCACTGTCGCCTAATGATTAAGGAGTCACCAAAGACAGCTTTTATGGTTAAAGCAGGACAAGATCTTCCAGTTTAATGAAGAGAAGGACTGGGGTTGACATGATAGCAGTGTTCCAATATTTGAGGGGTTGCCTCAAAGAAGAGGGGGTCCACCTATTCTCCAAAGCACCAGAAGGCAAGACCAGTGGATGGAAACCAATCAAGGAGCAAAGCAACCTAGAACTAAGGAGAAATTTCTTGACAGTGAGAACAATTAATCAGTGGAACAACTTGCATCCAGAAGTTGTGAATGGAGGTTTTTAAGAAAAGACTGGACAGCCTTCCAACTCAGTTATTCTCTTACACAGTGTCAACCTCCATTACATTGTTCAATAATGTGTGTCTTCTACGCAGCACTGCAAGGAAGGTAAACAGCAGTAAAAAAAAAAGTGTGTGAGAACAGACTGCTAAACGATTTAAAGCAAATCTCTTACTAAGTCAGAATATGAATACCAAAAATGAATAAATTTATTTGAAAAAGCCAGTTCCATTAGGGTGAAAAAAAAAACAACAGATTCAGCTTGTTTCAAGCTGAACTTCAACCAGAGCAGGTACCTTGATTTCATAGCCATTGTAGGGGACCACTCAACAACCCTAGATTTTAACCCCCGTGAAAGCACTCCCTGCATGAGTCTCGGTATAAGGCTTTCTGCCTGAGCAGGGGACTGGACTAGAAGACCTCCAAGATCCCTTCCAACTCTGTTATTCTGTTCTCTTCTGGGTACTGTTTGTTTGAGCTGTGGGTACAGTACTTTTCTTTGCCTACGATGCTCACCCTGGGTTAATAAGAGATGCAAAGCTAAAATAACCCATGGGTAGTTTTGGTGCAGAAGAAGAAGAAGAAGAAGAAGAAGAAGAAGAAGAAGAAGAAGAAGAAGAAGAAGAAGAAGAAGAAGAAGAAGAAGAAGAAGAAGAAGAAGAAGAAGAAGAAGAAGAAGAAGAAGAAGAAGAAGAAGAAAGAAGAAGAGAAGAAGAAAGAATAAGAAGAAGAAGAAGAAGAAGAAGAAGAAGAAGAAGAAGAAGAAGAAGAAGAAGAAGAAGAAGAAGAAGAAGAAGAAGAAGAAGAGAAGAAGAAGAAGAGGAGGAGGAGGAGGAGGAGGGAGAAGAAGATATTGAAAAAGGAGGAGGAGGAGGAGGAAGGGACCTGGAGGTCATCTAGTCCAACCCCCTGCTCAGGCAGGAAACCCTATACCATTTCAGACAAATGGCTGTCCAGTCTCTTCTTAAAAACTTCCAATGTTGGAGCATTCACAGCTTCTGGAGGCAGGCTGTTCCACCAATTAATGGTGATTTGATAAGCCTTAAATAATCCCTATTATTTTGATTGATTATTATTTGTTTGTTTGTTTATTTTCTCTGGGTCCATCTGGCTTTTTTTCACTTCATTTTATTTGGTTATGAAATTATTCTAACTCAGTTTTCTGACACACAGCAAGGCAAGTTTGGGAACAAAGAGGCAGCTTCTAATGTTGCAAAGTGCAAAAGGACAGGGCACAAGAGAGGAAAACAGCAGGAACCGAGCACAACAGAAGATTTTTTGGCTCTCTTGAAATTTTTTTTTTTTTTTTTTAAAAAGAAGAGGCCACTGTTATCTTTTTTTAGGAAATGCAACGTAGGTTGTTGCCAACATTTTGTGTTTCTTAGACAAAAAGATCTCCAGAGCAGATTTTAAAGGAGGAGACGGTGTGCAGAAAAGGGATAGATACAATATTCTTCTCTCAATCCACTAAGAAACCAGCACCTGAATTTTGATCAGAAATAAATAGCCACAGTGCAGCGTTGTTTGTTAAGCACTGCACAAAATGCCTTCTACTAGTGTTTGCTTCCTTCACCACAACACTTCCATGACGCATTGCTACTCACATCTGCTGAAACAGTGGCCAAGATCCAAATGTGGTAAACACATGTTTCCATCCTAGCCTAGATGTGGGTTAACAGAAAACACAAGGATGGAGTGGACTCACAAAAGAGGATGGACTAATGGATGAGAGGAACATTTCATGCATTCTGCACCTGCATTTGTTGTTGTTGTTAGTTGCGAAGTCATATCCGACCCATCGCAACCCCATGGACAACATTCCTCCAGGCCTTCCTGTCCTCTACCATCTTCTGAAGTCCATTTAAGCTCTCGCCTACTGCTTCAATGACTCCATCCAGCCATCTCATTCTGTCGTCCCTTTCTTCTCTTGCCTTCGATCTTTCCCAGCATCAGGCTCTTCTCCAGTGAGTCCTTCTCATTAGGTGGCCAAAATACTTGAGTTTCAATTTCAGGATCTGGCCTTCTAAAGAGCAGTCAGGGTTGATCTCCTCTAGGACTCACCGCTTTGATCGTCTTGCAGTCCAGGGGACTCGCAGGAGTCTTCTCCAGCACCATAATTCAAAGGCCTCAATTTTTTGGTGCTCAGCCTTCCTTATGGTCCAACTTTCACAGCCATACATTGCAACTGGGAAAACCATGGCCTTGACTATACGCACTTTTGTTGGCAGGGTGAGGTCTCTGCTTTTTAGAATGCTGTCTAGATTTGCCATAGCTTTCCTCCCCAGGAGCAAGCGTCTTTTAGTTTCTTGGCTGCAGTCCCCATCTGTGATGATCTTACGAAGAACAGCACTGAAGATTTTGTGTGTAGATTTCTCCTCTAGCCTCTCATTTGATATTCAGCTTTTCTTAGGTATTGTGTGCCATGATGGACCAGATTCTTTTAACAATAAGGGTCTTGAATTGAATTAATATTGACATGACCTCTTGTACA